AAAAGATGCAAATTTGAGTTTAATTTTAAAATGGGGAATCCTGTGAATGTTCCACGATTTTCTACATTTTAATCCTTACTAAGTTATTTATACTGATTCCTAGGTATTTCTGTGGCTACTTTATGATTTTGCCCTTCAAATGCCTATTATCAAGCATAAATGTTCAAAAAAAAAAACGGTTGAGCTTAATTTGAAAGCTGGGAGTCCCATGATTGTTCCGTGAGTTACAACAAGTTATTTTATGCTTACTACCGTGTTCATACTGATTTCCAGGCATTTTGGGGTGATTTCTTGATTTTTCCCTCTAAATGCCAATTTCTTAGTCTAAGTGTTTAACAAATGTAAGTTTGAGCTTAATTTTAAAATGGGGAATCTTGTATTGTTCTATGAGTTTGTACAAGTTAGTTTTATCTTCACTAAGGTTTTTGTATTGATTCATGACCATTTTTGTGGCTGTCGCATGATTTTCCCCTCCAAACGCTTACATTCAAGACTAAAGTGCTCAAAAAATGCAAGTTTGAGCTTAATTTAAAAACCAAGAGCCATGTGCTTACTTCATGACTTTCTACAAGTTACTCTTATCCTTACTAAGATGTTCCTATTGATTCTCAAGTATTTCCATGGCTATTTCACAATTATGCCCTTAAAATGCCTATTTTCAAGCTTAAGGTGTTATGTTTTACAATGCTTAAGACCTTAAACCCTGCTGCCTCTGTTTCAGAGTAAAGCTAAAAGCACCAAACAATACTTAAGACTTAAACCAACAACATCAAACCTGCAATATAAGCACCACAAATCAGCACCCAAAAAGACAACAACCAAACCAACTTATTTAATTGTAGGTTGTTAACACATGTTATTCAAGTTAAATAAAATACATCAGTTTAATTAGTATTAAATTTACCCCTATTTCAACGTATTAAATTTAAACTACGTTGGTAGAATTCACTAATGTCATTTTGAGTAATTGAGGTGGCAGGCATTGGAACAAATTTCTCTAGCATATGAAGCAATAAGATCAAGATTTGATAATTGTAAAGTTGATTCTATAATCTTCACAATACATACAAGTGTGCTATCAATTTGCATTTGTATAGACACATGTAATTTCATAAATAAAATTCAGGACAAAAGAACAAAAAAGATTGATAAATATTGTCAAAGACATAGATTGGTACATCAATTTGACACCAGAGTTTGCATCTAGCTTGTAATATTTTGAAGTCTAAGAAACATACCAGTGAATTAGTGATAAAGTTTGTCTCTTCCACGAAATGCTAACACTTTCCATTCTCATTGCATACTCTTTCACACTATCAACTTATTCATTTACTGACATCCAGTCCTGCTTGGCATGCTGGCACTTTTCTTTCATAGGCTTCTGACAAGCAGAAAATAGTTGCTTTGCAATTGCAATAGGTGTTTCAAGCTTAAGCTTCATTCTTTCTGTTAGCCCCAAGGTTACTCAAACTTGATTTTCTATTGATTTTGATTTATGACGAATATTTTATTCTTCTAATTATTTGAATTTTTCAAATTAATATTTGTACTTCATGATTCTAATTGTTTTGAGACTCTAGAATATATGTTTCAATAACTTTTTGGGTTATCAAAAATATAAGCACTAGCTCTTGGTTGCAAAAATCTATCTTTGTCTAACACAGGTCCAAGGGTAGTCACTAGAATAATCCTCAAATGTTAAGTGTTCTAGAACAGAGGGTCGACGCCAGAAAAGCAGGGGTCGACACCAGGGAAAAGCTAGAAAAATAATTAAGTGTTCCAGATGCAAGGGTCGACACCATCAGCAGCAAGGGTCGACACCAAAAAACAATATAAACTCCAGTTGTAAGGGTCGACACCAACAGCAGCAAGGGTCGACACCAAAAAGCAGTATACACTCTAGTTGTAAGGGTCAACACCAACAGCAGCAAGGGTCGACACCAAAAAACAGTATACACTTCAGCCGCAAGGGTCGACACCAGGAACACATGTAACTCAACTCAGGAAAGAAAAATCAGAGCAAAAGGTCAACACCCAACTTGCAGAGGTCGACACCTTTATGTCTGGGTTGAATAAAACCTAGCCACCATCTTCCAACTCAAAGAGGGTCTCTGTGACATCATCATCAAACATATATTATTCTAATCAAAAGGAACTTTGGGATAATATTTTCTGACTTAATGGAGGGAACATTCTCCACTCACACCACTCCCAAGATCAGAAAAAGAAAAAGCTTGGAGACAACATTATATCCCTCCACCATTGGTTTTTCTCCCAAGCATGGGCATCACTTCCTTTGAGGAAGCTCCATCTCCAATGGTCAGATAACAGCCTGTACCAGCCATGCTCCATTTACAATGGCTGGAAACCTGTTCCTTGCCCAGCTCCAACAGGTAATAAACCCACGTGGGTGTGTTTTCTCTTCTTCAAGAGACAAGTCGAATGGAGGCTATAAATCGGGATTGTTTCTAGATCTGAAAAGGGCCAGAGAAAAGGAGATACAACTGCAACTACACTAAGGATACTATTTTTTTTAATCTCTGAGATTTCACTTGTGTTCTTCCATTTTCAGATCTAAGTAAGTCCAAAAACTTACGTGAGAGCTTACACTTTCATAATCCATCTTTTGAGAGATTGTAATAGTCAAAGAGGACAGTTGAACATTTTCTTCTAGTTTCTTAGTTTCTGAGTGAAACATTTGTTAGTGAGGCATTTTGTTGGGTGAGTTCCTCAACAGACTGAAGTAAGTCCTTTTGTAAAAAACCTCAAGTTGGAAGAGCTTGGTGGTGCATCGATTCATAGTGAAGAAATTCTCAAGAAAGATTCTTGAGGAGTGGACCTAGGTCGGTGAGCCGAATCACTATAAATCTCTGTGTTAAGTTCTTCTTTCCTATTCTTTTTTCTTTCTGTTAATCATTTGATTATCTGCTGCATTTACTTACATAAGATCTTTTGAACCATACTTTTGGATCAATTTTTTTAATTATCCAATTCAACCCCCCCTCTTGGGTTGCTTTCCTGTTCAACACTTTCAATTCTTGTACTTGTTGACCCATCTAAAAAGCTATACAAAAAATTTGGCAAGCAACCAACAAAGCAAAGTAGAAAAAAAAAACAAAACAAAACAAAAAATACAAGCAACAGCCCAATAAGACCAAAAAAAAATTTTTAAAAATAAAACACCCCTGTTGTTACAGATTCTGCTTCAACTTTACAAAACACACGAGCAATATTGCACTCCCATTTATGATACAAATATTCTGCAGATACACAGTACTTTTAAGCTTTTGCCTCCAAGCCAACCACACAATGGATTTGACTTTGGGTGGAGAGACATTGTGCCAAATCGTTTTGGCAATAACTCCAATGTCATTAGGATGAAGATTAAATTTACACCATCTATACACTGATGAAACACTAAAACAACCAGAGTTTTCTACCCTCCAATATAAAGCATCCTCCTTATCAGATCTAAGTGCACAAGCAGAGAGTAACATGTTAACTATGCTGACCATAATTCTTTTTCCCAATCCCTCAACTCTCTACAGAAGCCCAGTAGCCAATCAGGTAAATCACTTCTAAGGTTGCGTACCTCCTTTACTAATTTGTGCCTATCAATTGAAAGTCTACAACCTTGGAAACACCTCCTTTAGACACCTATCTCCAATCCATTTATCTTTTCAAAACAAAGTCCTGGCGCCATTTCCAATCTGTGTTTGAGTATTGCTCACAAAAAAAATTATAAAGTTCAGGTCTTAAGCTCCCCACAGATAGGATGTCCTCCCAGATCCTAGAATGGGCATCAAATCCCTCAACAGGTGGGTACCACCTGCTCCCTTGGAGATTGTACTTACCACAAACTATTTTCTTCTACGACACCTTATCTTCATTGCCAAATCTCCACCAATTAAGAGTTGATCACATCACATAAATAATTGATCTCATCACAAGTAACCATACAAAGATCCCAAAGGAAAACCAAAAAGAATTATATTCTGAAAAAAAAAAAAAAAAAAAAAAAAAAAAAAAAAATTCAAAAAGAATTTAGATTTTAAATAGTTGAAGTTTAAAGCAGAGAAATAAATAGAAATGTTGGATTCCAATATTTGGTTTAACTATTGCCTACAAAGCCCCAAGTAAATCTTAAGATTTGTTTGGAGTTCAAGTCAGCACATAGAGCACATGCACCTAGTACATAGTGAAGCCTTTTGTAACCATTTCCTATGATTTAAGAATAGTAACTAAATTTTCAAAAAATCAGATTACTAACCCAACAACCAAAAAAAATAAAATAAAAATGATCTTTAATTTAGCTTATTGAACCTTTACAAGAGGATGTCAGAAAACAATTTCATCATGGTAAACACTATTTTAATACTATATATTAAACTATACACTTTAACGCATTTATGTAAAGAGGTGTGTAGACTTAAAAATGTTTTTATAAACATTTATATAGGCTTTAGTATTGTCATATCAAACAATTCTATACATTTCCAAAAAATATTATCGTCTCCCTAACGTTTCCAAGTGACCTAAAACAACACACCGAAACTAAATTTTGATTTGTATGAAGGCATAATTAGCATGATATTGGGGAAACAGTAAAAGATGAATGGATGATTCACTTGTATATTTAGGCAGAGGCATCATAAGTAGTCATAAACTGTTGTCCTTGCACTGGTAAACTATTTACTACCCTCGATAAACTACTGAACCATATGTATAAGTTCTTGTGTTACAAAATCACCTTAATATTTTCTTCAATCATGTAGGGACACATTCCCATAGCAGGTCAACCTAGGAAGTACCAATCTTTTGGTTTATTCATGGTGATCCACTGTTAGTCGACAAGCCCTGTTAATTTAACAACACTTCAAATTGAACATGAATTCTGAAAAAACAAAGAAGGAACAGATTGCATCAATCGATAAAATGATACAGAGAAAAATTCAAAAAAATAAAAAAAATAAAGCCATAAATTGATTAGCGAACAGGGGCTAAATTTCCAAATCGAAGATAGTACCTTCAAGATTCATACTGGTCGTATTATTGTGAGCGAGAGATAGAGAGAGCGAAGAGACCGATCAGTGTTTGTGAAGGGGCTAGGACAAATATAAGGAAAAGTGGGGAAAAAAAATTATAAATGTTAGGGTTTACTGAGAGAGAGAAACAGGAGGATATACAAACCAATTATTATGGAGAGGCCAGTGATGACGAGAAGCCATGCTCACGGCGGTGGTGACAAAAGGAGAGAGATGAGTTGCGCGAAGGTGGGGAGAACTAAGGAAAGTGATGAATCTCACGCAGTAAGTAGAGTTGAGCGTGAAAAGAGAGAAAGAGAGGGAAAACTGAAATCAGAGGCACCAATGAGACAGGGTTTTGAGGGAAATTTGAACATTGGGGAATTTGGGAGGGGGGTAAAAGATTGAGGTCCTGTTTGGTTGATTTTTTTTTTTTTTAAATGAATTTTTGAATTTTTAAAAATTGTTTAGTTTCAAGTTTTTGGATTCAATTTTTTAAAAATTGAGTTTTTTTTATTTTTAGTGAATATTTTTAAAATTTTAACTAATTTTTTTCATTTTTTTAGATACACCTTACTCAGATGTATCTAAAAAATAAAATATTTGTTAAAAAATAATAAATATATACGAATATAAAAAATGTACTGAATTCTCATAATTTTTTTTATATATTTTTAGTATTTAGTGAATATTTTTTCACAAATATTATACTTTTAAAATTTATTTATGTTTGGTGTATCTAAAAATTTAAAAAAAATGCTTAGAATATTAAAAAAAATTAGTGAAAACAAAAAAATATGAAAAATAAAAAAAAAATTAATTTTCTGAAAAGTGAATACTGAAAATCCAAACCAAACAAGTTGATTATATCCTTCGAAAAATTATATAAAATTGACAAGTATGGTAGCTTTGATTTTTTAAATTTTTTCACGAAACTAATTTTTAGTCTTTAAAAAATAAATTTGAATCAAGTTTCGGAAAATCAAATCGAACAAGGCCACCACCTCAACTTTGGAAAGAATTTTGATTATCTTAATTTGGTTATGTCAACTTTGAGTTTTGTGGGCTCATTTTGAGATTGATTTCGGCGATCTGAACTATTCACTTTTTACAATTTATTGACTAGAATATTCATTAAAAAAAAATCAAAATAATCAGATATTGGTAACTATATGTTTAAAACATATTTAGATGGACCATTTGAGAGAATCGAAACTCCTTTAGAAAGTTTTAATAAAAACGTAAGTCATGAAACCATCTTGTTTCACTAACAAAACTTTTGCCAACGTATATTTTGTCGTCGCTAAATATTTAACTCTTTGCCCACACCAACTTATTGTCGCCAAAAGTAAACAAACTAATAGCAACACTTATCGTGTTGCCAAAAAATAACCCTTGTCGCTAAAATTTTTGAAAATTTGGCCTCAACCAATAATTTTGGCTCCGGGTGAATGTTATGTTTTTTTAGTGATGGTAGTAAATTGCGTCGTTAAATGTTTACTTTTAGCGACGAAATTGATTACTATGTCACCAAAAATATTCTTTTGGCTATGAAAAATTGGCAGTCACCAAAAGTAGTTGCCAAAAGTGGAATTTCTTGTAGACATGAGTTATATCTCTTTAGTATTAGATACTTTGTCAAATTATTAACTCTTAGAGCATCTCCAACGGTGCATTACTTTTTTCACCAAATTTGATTAAAATTTTGGGTAAAAACTCAGTTTGATATCACCTATTCCAACGGAAAGATTTTGCTTTTCATCAAATCACAGGTCGACCGGGTGGACGACCAGGGGGTCGAGCGGCTGGTCGACCAGCTAGTGTAATCTCATCCCCTCTCTCTTTGTCTCTACATAATTGATGGTTTTTCACTCTATCTCTCTTTCCACTCTCTTTCTAAAAAAATATTGAAGTACATAATTTTGTGATGGAAGGGGATAAGGATAGATCGTCTCTCTCAAAATCTCTTTCTGCTTGGTGTCAGAACCAAAAAAAGAAGAAAAACCAGTAAAGGCCAAAGACAAAGCAAACAAAACCCATAACAATGTATGTAAATTGAAATTCATGTTCATTTATTTTACAGCATGCCCAATTTAGATTTCTTCCAAATTTTATTTATTTTGAGTCTTTTCTGCAAGTGGTATAGTTGATAGATTTGTCAAATGCCCATTTCAGATTTAACTTGATGTTTCTTGGGTCTTTTAGATTTGTTGAATATCCATTGTGAACAATTTCTACAACTTGAAGCTCCCATTGTTGCGGGGTTTTCAAAGAGAGAAAGTGAAGCATTTGGTACAAAACAACTCAGACAATTTACAATCTGATCTTCATAGAAACGAACCTTTTTCACAGCAAGTTTCACACACACACACACACACACACACACACACACACACACTCACTCACTCTCTCACTCTCTCTCTCTCTTCAATTTGGTCTTTAATCATTGTTTCCTGGTAAAGAGGGAAAAGGGTTGCATTGTTTTTCTTCAAGTAACCGGACGATTGCTGGGATAACAACCCGGATGTCCGGCTGGTCGTCCTATGGGTCTATCCACAACGGTCCTACACAGTAAAATGGTGAAAGGTGAGCAGATCCTCATTTTGGTGAACGGTTTGGCCTGTTCTCAATTTGATATCGATCTGGTGAAACTGTTGGAGATAAAAAAAAAAAAAAAAGTGCATTTTTTCACCAAATTCAAATTTGGTGATGAATCTAATGCAACATTGGACATGGCGTTAGCGATCAAACCAAATTACAAACCAAGTATATGAAAAAAAACAGTATGCAACATTTATTCATCTGTCCTCTTCTCTCTCTAACTCAACCTTCTTCCAAGTACTCAGTAATTTAAAAAATTAAAAGATAAAAAATTAAAAAAAAAAAAAAAACACCTCTTTAAACTACTGCATGCTTGTTTTATTTGTATCACACCCAACCACAAATTGGAATAAATTGACATGGAAATTCATATATCCAGTGATAATATTGCACAACACAAATTGGTGAAATTCTAGATCAAGTTCATTAATCAAAAGTGTAAGTCAAATAAAATTCAGAAATAGAATTTTTATGTATTACATTTGAACTGAGTTTTTTCTCCTTCCTTTTTTTATTTTATTTTATTTTTTTATGGGATACATTTGAGCCAAGTTAAATGTTTTGTTATTCATATTTACATTTACAAACACAACATTTCATCTATATTTTATATGGTCAATAGAAAATTAGTGGAAAGAGACAAAAATGAAAATCATACCTTTCATTAAAAGTATTGATGCCAATTTCAAAATATATATGTCTTACTCTATAATAATCATTTTATAATATTTGCAAGGGTGGACTTAGGGCTAGGCATTAGTGGCTGCAGCCCAGCCCAAAAATTTAAAAAATTTGTGGAAATTTTTTTTCCCAGCCCAGCCTCCCAACCTCTTCCAGCCCAGTCCCAAATAAGGGCTTATAGCTTTTTTGTTTGTTTTTTAGATAGGTAGCCCAATAGTAGCCCATTACTTACCCAAAAAAAATAGATAGATAGCCCAATAGGTTTGTATTTGTTTAAAGAACAATTCTTCCAAAACAATCCTCACATCTTCCAGTAGATAGGCAGCGACCCTCTCTCCGTCGTCTCTAGCAGCCTGCAGCAACTCCTCTTTCCTAACATTTTTTGTAAGTGTAATTAACCAATTATTTTATTTCATTGGTTGAGAATGGATTTGATTAACAATGGTTTTAAAATTTTGTCTTTATGTAACAAATATTATATTGCTCTTAGTTTTTTTTATGATGCTGCCTTGTTTGATGTTCTATATTGCTCTTAGTTTTTGAACTTTGAAGGAGTTTTTTTGGACATATATAAAAATAATGACAGCCTAAATAAAAATTATTGGGGATATATATAAAAACCATAATATTTAAAATTATTGCAAATATACTATGGTTTAATATTAAATGGGGATAAAAAAAATTTAAATTTTTTTTAGGTTATAAATAATGGAACCTCCACCACTAAAAAAAGGCAAAACCCTTTTCTCATTCTATCAATCAAAACAAAAGTCTAGTAGTACAACATCCAATGTTGTTGAAACCTCATTTCATGATGTTCAACCGCCTTACATGCCTCAAGCAAATAAAACGAGCGAATTTGATTCAATTGTTATTGAACGGGGATCTTGGTTTACAATTTCAAATTTGTGAATATCCGGTTAATCAACAAGATGAGGTTAGACTAGTGTATGTGAACTTGGGGCCTTATCAACCTAAACTTAAGTATCCTAGGTCCTCATTTGGAAAGCATAATTGCCGATTCCAACATATTTGGTAAATAATTTTCTTGGCTAGAGTATTCTCCTTCAAAGGATAAACCATATTGTTTTTCATGCTTTTTGTTTGATCAGCCAAATAAGTCGATCAGTCGTTCTACACTTGTTGATGTGGGGAAGAGAGGAAATGATGTATCCAAATGTGTTTTTTTGCTTCATGTCAGACTTGCATCTTCATCGCATAGTCATTATGTTATTAGTCATGACAACTTAAAGAAATCTTCCCAATACATTGAAAAAGTGTTGAATGCGCAATTAAAAGAAGAGATTTTGAAGAATCGAATGCGGGTAAAGGCAACAATTGAAACCATTCAAGTACTTGCTTTTCAAGGACTTGGTTTTAGTGCTCATGATGAAAGGTCGACTTCATTGGATCAAGGTAATCTAATTGAATTATTAAAGTTCAAGGTGAGAGGGAATGATGCACTTGAGAGCATTATATTAAAGAATGCTCCACAAAAAGCCAAATACACTTCTCCGAAGATCCAAAAGGAGATTTCGCATATACTTGCTAACAGAGTTGGGAATATGATTTTTGATTATGTTGCAAGAGGTTATTTTTGTATTCTGGTTGATGAATCCCAAGACGAGTCTAAAAAATAACAAATGGCCCTTATTTTGAGACACGTCAAGAATGATGGTTTGCTAGGGGAACGATTGTTTGATATCGTGGGTGTCAAAAATACATATGCATTGACTCTTAGAAATGAGATATCAAATATTCTTTCTCGATTTAATCTCCCTATTCAAAACATGTGCGGTCAAGGGTATGATGTTGCTAGCAATATGCGTAGTGAATGGAATGGACTTCAAGCTTTATTTCTTAAAGATTTCCCATATGCATATTATGAACATTGCTTTGCACATTGTTTGCAATTGGCCTTAATTGCGGTAGCAAAAGATGAGCCTAATGTTTGGCATTTTTTTTTCTCACTTGAGTTGTATTGTCAATCTTGTTGCCTCCAAAGCGCCTTAGTAAGTTAAAATCTTTTCATAGGAGTGAGGTTGAAAATATGTTGGCTAGTGGTGAGCGTCAATTTGGTAAATGG